TTCGTGGGCAATTCCACTGATGGCTTTGATTTCCGTTTTACATACGAGCTTCTAGCAAACCGTAGCAAAAAAAAACTACGAATATTTTGGCTTTTACACCTTTCTTAACATTAGATGTGTTTGCATTTATTTGTTTTTGTCTTATTTCAATTTTGCTTTTCGTTAATGCAATACGGCCTTCTACATATATAACAAAAGGTTCATTTATTTGTTGCTAGGTGTACATAAGGGTACGTATATCTAACTTATTTTAATGTACACATCTACACATATCATTTCATTTTTCCTTTCTATTTCTTACAAAGTATTGCAACCGAAAACGGTGTCTTCAACAAAACGAAATGGTATGCATGACATCTGACTATAAATTGCGACACCAAACGCTCCATGTTAACTCACGCTTCTGACCTTTATCAGTCTTTCATTTGCTTATTTGGTTTTTTGTTTTTGTGTTCCTCCTTTTTTTTTTAACAGAACCCAAAAATAGTGTCGAATCTTTAAATTTTTCTTTCTTCTTGAAGTTCACTTTAATGCACGCTACCACTTTTTAACATCAGCTTAACGCGTTTCTTTGGTCGTCTAATCGTTGTTGTTTCTTCCTTTTACTTAAATTTTGCTTATCTATATTTTGGCATTTAACGCGATTATTTGCATAAAAGTTTGTGCATATCCATAGTAATATTTGTGTATGTTTTACTAGCAGGCCTTGCTTTCATTTCTTTTTCTCTTCTTAATATTCTTAAATAAGTTTAAGCTACACTTTGCCTTGAACCGTAACTAGCTTTTTTCTCTTTTCCAAGTTTGCTAGTACATTTAATTTTTCTCCTTTCTCCTCTTTTTTTTCAACTTGATCTATTTTACTCAAAAAAACCATCTTAAAAGAATTTCACAAATATTTCTTTAGATATTTGCTGCACAATTTTTGTTTTTTTCTGTTGTTTGTTTCTTTTCGTTTGCCACTAAATGCTTTAATTCATATTCTACTGTTCTGTTTTCAAAGTAATCTGTTTTACTAACACAACATAATGACATATATCAGAGTATTTTGATTTCTATCCACTCTAAAGTTTTCGCGATCAATCAGAACCTTTCGGTTGCATGATATCTTCTTATTCCTCTTTTTCTTTGCGTTGGCTACCTAGCGGCTAGCCGCTATTCTTGAAAAAAGGACCAAACCGCAAGATCACGCGATTTTGAATAACGGGATGCCGTTATTGCTATATTTTCGGCGAAAACAGACCGACTGACACCCTACCCTAAGTTTGTTCGCGGACGTTGCAAATTGTATTAACTATATTGAAACTTTGTCCTGATACTCATTTTGGTTCTTGCGATCAGCACTTGGTGTTCTTGTTAATAAGTCTCTTTCGTGTTTTTTTGGTGATTAAAGCTCTTCTCTTGGCTTGCTGTTTGTTTACCGTTGCTTCAATGGTGTGAAATTTACGTCTAATTTGAGAGACAATTTTTGTGATTTTGTTTTCTCTCCTTTTTTGGTGTTTGCAATTTGGTTTTGCTTTCGCCCTCTTGTTACAGTGTCAACGTAATAGAGAAGTTTGCTTAAATTTGTTGACAAAATTTGTGTTGTGGATCTTTTTGCTATTTTTTTTTATTTTCTTCATAATCCACTTCTGTCGTGTTTGACTGGACATGGATTTTTTATATACACCATGTCGTGCGAAAAGGGGCTCAGAGTCTGAACGATTCATTTCGCGTTGGCTTTGTGATTGTCTTTGCAATGCAAAGTATGTCGGTATTATCTGCCGAGCTGCTGGCGTAGTCGCTGATGATAAGACTTAGGTTGTACATATTCTGACTGTAGGAAGCGTGACATTGATTTTTACGAACTCTTCACGGAGACGAGAAATATTTTCTCGGAATTGAGTAAAAATCTCGGCTCCTTGTGGGAGAAGTTTGAGCTAATTAAGTGTAGGTTTGATGAGTGTCGCTTTATTGAGCACTCATCGTCTTCCCAAGCTAGCAAAATTACAACTCGTAGTGTAGCGTGTAGTACGTCACTTCTGATTCCTTCTAAATCTGATTCGTTGGTACAAGTTAGCGCTCTCTCTACAATGAACGTTAGCGTTTCTGCTATTGTTATATCCGCCGGTAACAAAAAAGTTACAAATAAGCTGGGAAGCCCTTCTAGTTTGAGCTAAGTTAAAGTGGCAAGGCTATCTCCTCCCAGTGCCGTCGCTCACTCTACTCATGACATTTTCTTGACGGCTGTTCCTCCCAGAAAAGCAATATTTGTGTCAAGATTGGCACCTGACACATCTGTAGATTACATAAAAAGATATCTGGCTGCGAAAGCCCCATCAGTCAATTTAAAGCGCGTTAGCATTTTCAAATTGGCTCCTTCTCAATCTAGGACAATCTCTTCTTTTAAAATGCTAGTTCTGACTGAAAACATTGATATGTTGTTAAATAAACCAGTGTGGCCAGATGCATCCTTAATTCAGGAATTTATCCTTGGTGATCCATCCAGTAATAATTATGAAGTAGCCCTTTCCCCTTCAAAAACTCCTTCCTTCAGGTTCATTGTTGCTCATTTATCAAAATGGTACGGGCCTAAATTCAAAAATTCGTTCTATTTCCCTAAATTGAGTGAGCACGGAGTTTCCTGTTTGGCCTTCACTGAAATTTGGTTGAAACCCGATCTTCATTTGTCGGAACTTTTTCACAATTCTTTCCAAGTCTTTAGAAATGATCGAGTGATTCGCTTTGGAGGTGGTGTGTTAATTGCCATATCTGCTTCAGTCTCGTCCAATTCAATAGAATTTCCCACTTCTCCGGACGTTTAATTTATCGCCATTCGAGAGAAAATGCCTAATAAACAACTACTTATAATCCGCTCCTATATTCCCCCAAATTCTGATATCTGTGATAGAGCTTCTATGTTCTTTAATGAATTATTTGTTCATAATTTAGTTCAATACAACCGTACCTCTAATTGTAATGGTAAACTGCTTGATCTCTGCTTTGCCACTTTTCGTGAGATTAGTGTATATCGTTGTCTTCCTTTTAGTTTACCTGAGGATCCTCATCATCCAGCAATGTGCATTTCCTTTCATCACAAGTATGGTGGTTCGTTGAACTGCCTTAACGTTCCAAATCCAACTTTTTCAAACAAATATTATGATTTCCAACATTCCAATGCTAATTTCACATCTTTCACAAATTATGCTTGATTTTTCAACTGGAAGTATTGAAAGCTTGCTATCATCGTTCTACAATATATTAAATCTAGCTATTTCTGCATCTGTTCTGGTCAAGCAGTGCCGACCTCGAAGCAGCTGGTCCCCGTGGACGTTTAAATATTGCAAGAATAGAAAAAACACGCTTTTGAAACGATATTCGAAAGGTGGCTGTGCTTTCGACTATTTCGCTTACTCGGTGGCGAGGCATAGATTTAACTCCCTCAACGATAAATATTATTGCAGATACCTTCAGTTCATTAAATCTTTCTGTTTGCTAATCCCAAATACTTTTTTAAGTTCGTTAATTCCAAAAAAAATGTCCCTAAATTCCTCGCAAGTTTCTTTTAATAGCTCTGAGTCTCCGGAAGATATTGAAACTTCAAATCTCTTTGCTGAATACTTCCGACGAAACTTTTCGACAGCAAATTCCGATTTATCAGCAAACTACCCATATCCTATAACTAACTTGATTTTAAATCCTAATTTGGTTATTTCTGAAGATGACGTTTTTAAATGGATGGTCTTTTATGGGGTGCCTCTAAGTTAGTACCTGTAGGTTACGGTATTAACAAATTGCAAATCATGTGTGTTATTGAAGATGACAAAGTATTAATTGATTTGCTAACTGAGACAATCCAAAATTTTGAAGACTTTGTTCAATCGGTAGATATTGCTGCCTTTAATAAAATCTAAGACAAGTCTCGTTAATACATTTAAAACCAATTTTTTTTTACTCCGATGTCATTAAATAGAAACTCCGTCTTTGCTATGCAAAAATCTGCAAAAATTGATAACGTTTTTGTTTATTCGATGCTCTTAACTTTACGGGAGATCAATTTGAGGATGCTACATTTTCTATCACGGCCGCATCTGCGGAAGTGATGTGGTAAACTATATTTGGAAAATATCAATTGTGGGTGATTACTCAATAACATCTTTTAAAGATTGCTGATCTAAACATATACAGTTTTTCTGCAGAAGAACGGGGGGAATCGTTTGCTATTTAGCAACAACAAAGTTGATAAGACTTAATATAAAAATCTCATTTTTTCTTTATTAAGGCAATAATGAGATAAAAGCAATACAATGTTGACAGGACAATAAAGAACTAGTGTTTATAAGTTATAGGAAGTAATTAAATAAAAGTTTCTGAAAATAATTAAGTAATTATGAAAATCGAGATTTTCAATTTTTTGAACTAATGACATCCGCTTGATATTTTTTGGAATAGTTAATCGCAATTGTAGAAATGCAACATCTCAATTAGTCATAAAGGGACACTCACATAGAATAGCCGGCAGAACTGGAAACATTGCCAGACATATCTTTTGCAGGTTCAGTGCTTTCATAATGTTTATTATTAAATAAAGTCTTATGTACTCTAAGGCCAGCTAAAAAAATGTCAGGACTGCGATGGCAGTAAATAAGCCGTAGAGTTTTGTAATCCGATTGTACGCTGGAGCCAATCGTATCAAGGACAGACGGTAAATAGTTTTCCATCGTTTGTCGTCTGCGTGAATCAGTTTAGTATCCATTTTATTAGAAAAACAAAAATTTGTTTGAAGGATATTACCAAATTTTGGTCTGATTATAAGTTCATTGTATTAATACTTTCTCAAGCAACGCTTAAGAAGCGAAAAATGGAGGGAGCATAGAGTTGCTTTCAATAAATTGCAATGCGACAATTCTGTTAAAGTGATATATATTTCAGCTGCAATTCTGTTAATAAGAAATTTCTGCTAGAATTCTGTTAAATCAGAATTTGAGGATTTTTTAGTTAGAACATTTGTATTATCAGCTGGTTTCTATTGACATTTAGTTGGATTACTTTAAATAGATTCAATTGTCCGACATAGTGATAATAATAACAATTCAGTATCATTTTCATTTAAACTGCGGTTGTACAGCACGGACGATTTAAACATTTGAAAGCGGGATATAAATGAGAGCATTTTTTAGCGTGAGAAAAATTCATAGCATGCCTAAGTAACTTAATTTGCAAGCCAGCTAATTTCAGAAGAGAGTACACACCATTAACTTCTGGTTCCAGAGACATGCGACTCCGTATACCACAATCAATTCGGTGCTTGTAATCACAAATCTAAAAAAAGAACAACACCTATTTATTATTTATGTGAGTATGCTAATTCGTTCAAACTCAATTGTATATTTACCACCATCACCTACAAAAGAGCGGAAACATGTAAAAAATACAAATTTATAAGTTTATTTTTGTTAAACTTTTACAAACTCTCAGTTTACTCCATTCTTTTTCTTCTTCGATATTAAAAGGACTTGGTTTTTAAAATGTCGGCTATCAGCTTTAATATAATGCTAATGCCAATGTTTTGTTTGCGCCGTCTTCTTATACTTAGGCGATAGATAGTCGTGGACAATCTATTTGTACAAAAGCGTCAATATCTTTGAACAAAGCCATCTCTTGAGGATATATTTCCGATATGTTGGTAACTTTAAAGCCTCGAAGTAGTGGACGTTTTTCCAAGTATTTGTAACAACGCGCATTTCCGTGCCGCCCGAAAGTACCCAAAATGATACCAATTTTTCTAAGCTTCTTGGCTCGCAAGATTTCTTTATAACGCATTGATTGCATGGCCAAATGATCACATAATTCAATACTAAATTCTTTTCATAAGGATCATATATGTAGCCATTTATCTCAGGAAGCAATAGTAATACAATGAACACAAGAACTTGCATTACGAAGAGTCTTTTAAAATTAGATTCCCAAACACAACAAGAAAAGAAATAAAGAATAGAAAAAGCGAGTTTGAATTTAGTAACATCTGAGAAAAATTCAAAGAGTCCGCCCGAATTCGCTAACATCTGAGATAACGATAAAAAAGTGACTAACCTATTGACATGTTTATTTGAAACAATTTTTATTTAACATTTATACTTTAATGGCAACATTCGGGTGACGATCAATAATAATTGATGCGACGCACCAGAACAAGCTTCTGCAGAGGTTTTATCAAACTGAAGCTGTTAATATATGTACATGATATAAATAAATAAAAAATATGCAAGCAATTGGCTATTTGTTGTTGACTTATGTAAGTTCTTTGTTCTTACCGCAGATTTCAAGAAAGTAATGGGTAATATAACAACAACAAGTACATACATACATAATGTACAAGTGCATAGAAGTTGCGCGGCACACATTTGGTGTTGTATGCCGCCAATATGAACCATCGCAAGAGATGTAAATCAAGGTCGTAAAAAAAAAGAAAATATTAGTAATTTTGGTGCATTATAGATTCATATGTTATTATGGCAGATTTGTATATAATTCTTTAAAGTCATCGCGCTGTTCATTTTTCGCGCAGGATTTCGAACATTTTTTATAATATTTTATTAAATGTTTTATTTTAAACATTTCTATTTTCACCTTTATTCATATTTATTCGAAGCAACTCTGTGTTCTTTCCATTCTCAATAGGTGGTACTTTTTTTTTTTTATAGAAAATTGAAAGAAAGTAAAGAATTTTGGAAAAAACTAGGCAACGGCTTTCTGTGAAAATAGAAAAAATTTGCCACACTTCGAAAGCATGGGCTAAATTGAACAAAATTTTCCTAAAAAAAAATTGAAAAAAAAACAATTTGAAAAAAGGATAATTTTCCGATATTTATATATAATAGCTTAAAAAAATGATAGTTTTTAAGTGTATTTCAAAAGCCGCGCCTCCTCTATATTGTAATTCTTTTGTGTATAGTGAGTGCCATAAATATTCATCCTGGACGCACTATTCAGCGAACTATTAAAGGAATACCCGGATTTTTGGGGGCTGGAAGAGCGTTATATATGTTGAAAGGTAGTTGGTAGGTAGTTAGCTGACGTACTGACACAAAAAACAAATGTTGCTGCAACAATACAAGATGTTAGGAAACAATTGAAAGGTACTAAAATGAGCTTAAAGCGATTAGACAAGTCGGAGAGGGCAGGTTACACGGGTGTGTGCGCGTATGTGTGGTAAGCGCACAAATTAGGATTGAAACGTGCTGTTGACAGAGTAACCGTACATATGTTAGCTTACGGGGAAATACCCGTTGACATACAGCGCAAAAACATACAGATTAACACAGATTGCGAAAATTTTTTAGGGTTTGACGAAACGGACATAAAGGGCAAAAGATTTTCAGAGCAGTTAAAGAAGCTGACGGGCAATAAAAAGATCGAACAGATGGAGAAAGAGACGGAGGAACGGATGGACGAACAGAGTGAGGAACGGCCATCTTGTATTAAAAGCCCCGATGGATATAATGTAAACAGGTACCCCAGTTGGATATACGATGAGGGACCAACAATGTCGTTCGAAGCAGCGCGGAGGGAGAAGAATAGACGCCTTGAACCCGCTACAAATCCAGATGAAGGCCAAGAAGTTGAAGTAGCTGGAAGGTTAGTGGACATTGAAGCATTGCGAGAGGAGTTGTGAGGATATTAAGTACTCACGAGAAAAATATACAACTTCATTTCGATGAAGTGTACACAAACCCCGGATCAGTATATTCTCGGAAAGAGGCTACGCTATATGGATGCTGCTACATCCTTGAGAGAAAATTGTCGAAGACGGAGGAGTACCGGACGGTCCTCGTCTCGTGAGTAGCATGTTGAACGCCGCCAACATGCTACCTGTCCTATCACCCTCTATAGAGGAAATCTGGACGAACTAGACAAAAATTTAACAATCTGCGATAGGAGTAGCCAAAACCACAAGACATTGTCGAATTTCGTAAACGGCAAATGCAACAGGCAACGAGCGCATGGTAGCATCTAATCGTACACATGTTCGATTGCATACATATCTTGAATGGATTCCGCCAAAAAATTGGACTACTCAAACAACGATTCGACGCCACAATTGTCACTAAGATAGATATGCGGAACGCGTCTATCTCAAGATACTCGAAGAGAAGATGCGCCAGCTTATTAGTTGTCGCACTTCGAAATTTCAAAGAGGCAATTCAGTTTTTCACTTCTGCAACGCCAGCAATGTTAAAAACAGCAACTAACCGGAAAATCATCCGTGATGACCAAGAAATCCGGACATATGAACTCATCGCCGCTTTAACTAAACTCAACTTCATATTTCACAGCGGCAAGATCAGCAACTCCAAATGGCACGTCCAGAAACCGGTGTTAGCAGAAGCTAAAAAACATCTCGAGGACACCTTTGCGGCGGACCTGCTAGCGGACGAAACCGTGGAAACCATAAATAAGTTAATGGAATTAATGGGTGGGCTGCTGGAGGCCTACAGGGGAAACCAGAACTTACTGGAACGTTTCTTCTGCAAGATAGCGCCAATGCAGAGGGAACGTACCAGACCGACGGCGGATATGGCTGGTCAACCGCTTTATTAAATCACAAATCAAATTTTGGGGAAGTGGCTCCAGAACAACCTACGATTACCATCTTATAGAAAAGAAGGATTACACGGTGGAATACCAAGTCGAAGAAGAGTTCGTGCCATTTGGCTTGGATGGAGCAGGACTACATCCGGCTGCTCACGGGCTACGGAATAGCTCAGTATATATGTGAACAGCTAGGATGCCAGGTATGCCTCGAGGATATGACCTTAAGAAAAGAAGATGCATGCTCCGAAGTTGGCGATTACATTGTCGCCAATGGCCTGAAAGACGATGTCATCCTAGCCCATGAGTACCTCGAGCCCGAATTCCCGAATCCTAAAGTCGCTGCCGTATTTTATGACGCCTGCGATATTTACATGTCCATTATACGGCAATACATGATCGAGGCAAACGTCGGCAAGCGCGTGCAGGCGGCGATAGTGGCACGGCTTGCCTTCTTCGGGGAAGCAGGCTCCTGTACCTAACGAAGAATCCACCGAAAAAATCTTCTAGGCTTCTTCAGCAGTTTTTTGCTAATTGGAAAAAAGTGGGTACAACCAACTCTCACCAGAATGTCATCATTATAAAGGAAAATCGTGCGAGAAAACCAGCAAAATGAAGATCATTAAATTGTTTTATTGAATTATAAGGAGAATCAGGCTTGGAAAACGGCAAATAAAAGTTAATTCAAATATAATAAAAACGTATTAATATATTTTTTTCTTATTATTATTATTATAAATGTAGCCAGAGAATAAATTTTAGGACTAAAGTCTTAAAGCACTAGCATCTAAGGCTTTCGGCTTTATTAAAAACTCTACCGCACTTGAGATTTGAACTCACGATCTATGAGTTGATAGTCGAGACTCTTGCCTACTCGGCCGCTCAGGCGGATATATTTTTTTTTTTTCTTACGTCCTTATTTGTATTTAATTTTGGATAAAAAGACAAGTATCAGCCGTTCAATGCTGCCTTACACCGCCTCATTGCTTCCTCGTCCTAAGGTAATTATAATGTTACATAGGTATATTTATAAATTTCTTATTATTATTCCATTTTAGATTAGAAAAAAATCAAGTCTAACTCGCTCCGTTCATCGCCTCTTATCGATAAAGATCCGGTGCATGTCAAAGGTAAGTTTGCATTTATCTTTACTTATAATTATTACAAATTTTTCTTTTCATTTTATTTTAGATTAAAAAACAAGTATACGCCTCCACGCATAGCTTCAACAGAATGCGATACTTGCGCAGGCCAAATGATAAGATGTGGTCATCTTTGTATATAATGTAATGTATTAACCACAATATTTTTCTTTTGCAGACGCCAGCACACCGTAATAGCAGCAGTTTTTATTTATTTATATGTTTTTTTTATGAATTATACATGTATCTATCACTACGTATGTATATATTAGCCGGGCTTTTATTTATTACGTATTATTATGTATTATTATAATCGTAAATTTTCACCTGAAGACCCTTACCATCCATCAATGTGCATTTCCTCTCAACATATGAATGATGGTTCGTTGAACTGCATTAATGTGCCAAATCAAACTTTTTTTTTTTTAAATAAATGTTATGATTTTCATAAAATCAAGATTGTATTGCTAAATTACCATCTTTCACATATAAGGCTTGATTTCTCGACCGGAAGTATTGAAAGCTTATTGTAATCGTCCTACAATACATTAAATCTAACTATTGCTGCATCCGTTCAGATCAAGCAGTGCCAACCTTGAAGCAGGTGTCCCCCGTGATTTAATAAAACAATTAAATATTGCAAGAACAGAAAAAACACGCCATTCAAAAAATATTCGAAAAGTGGCTCTGCTCTTGCTATTTCGCTTACTCGATGGCAAGGCGTAGATTTAACTCCCTCAACCATCATTATTATTGCAGATGCCTTCAGTTCATTAAATCCTCTCTGTTTGTTAATCCTAAATACCTTTTTAAATTTGTTAACACAAAAACAAATTTCCACACATTCCTTGCATGTTTATTTTAATGGCTCTCATTCCTCCGATGATTTTGAAATCTTAAATCTGTTTGCTGAGTAGTTTCGACGAAACTTTTCGATTGCTAATTTCGATTTATCAGCAAACTACCCACATCCTATAATTAACTTGGTTTCAATTCCTAATTTAGTTATTCCTGAAGATGACGTTTTTGAAGGGTTGAGCTCTATACAATATAATTGTGGGCCTGGACCTGATGAAATTCCATCATGTATACTTAAGTCTTGCGCTGTCGAGTTATATGGTGTTATCTCTAAGATTTTTAACTGGTCCTTGAATTTAGGTGTTTTCCCGTCGTATTGGAAGAGTAGTTTCTTTATTCCTATCCAAAAAATTGTAAGTAGACAATTTGGTGAGAACTACAGAGGCATAGCTAAGTTGAGTGTCTTGTCCAAGTTGTTCGAGCGTATTGTGACTCAGCATTTGGCCTTTGCCATTAATTCGTATATTTCTCCGCACCAGCACGGCTTTCGGAAAGGAAGATCTACGGTCACCAATTTGTTAGAGTTTACTTGTCATGTTTTCAAGGCTTTTCCTAGTGGCTCTCGCACTGATTTAATTTATACTGATTTAAGCAAAGCATTTGATTTGGTTAGGTATAACTTACTTCTCTTTAAACTCCAAACCTCTTGCTTCCCTTTCATTCAGGGTTTTTGTTTAACTTTATCACCTCGGATGATTTCCTCGTTACGTCTGGCGTACTCCAAAGCAGCCACTTAGGCCCCATTTTATTTAGTTTATACATTAATGATCTCCCATCAGTGATTGATTCCAGTCAGATCTTAATGTATGGTGATGATGTGAAACTGTTTTCTTCCTTTTCCGTAGAATACCAATCGCATCAGCTTCAAAGTGGCTTGAATAATTTGGTTGCATGATGCTTTTTGAATCTTCTGAAACTAAATCTAAATAAATGTAAGAAGCTTTTATTTTCTCGAGAAGAAAGCCATTCATTACTCAGTATTTCATTGACTTGCATAAATTTGAGGAAGTCGATTCGATCAAAGATTTAGGCGTTCTATTTGATCAAAGGTTACGTTCTAAGTTGCATATTGATCTCTCGATAAGCAAAGCTAGGTCCGCGCTTGGTTTTATAAAAAGGTGGGGCAAAGAGCTTGAAGATCCCTACATTACGAAAAGGCTGTACATGTGTTTGGTTAGACCCATACTCGAATATGCCTCTGTTGTGTGGTCTCCTTCATATAGGTGCTATGTAGATTTAAATGAATCTGTTCAAAAGCAATTATCGCTCTTCGTTTTAAGGAATTTGGGTCGGGATCCGATTGCCTCTCCTCGCCCCTACGAAAATAGGTTGCTTTTGTTGTCCTTACCGTCTCTCGCGAAACGTAGACGTTCCCTTCGTAATCAAAGTAATAAATGGTGTTATTGACTCGCCTGCATTACTTAGTGAAATAAGTTTTAATGTCCCTAACTTAGTCCTTAGCTTAATCAATGTAAATATAATTATGAGCTGTTTAACCCGCTCAGAGGCTAAATGACGTCTATCACTTATTCTCAAAATCGGACTCTTTAAAGCCCATTAAAGCAACATTCCTTAATACGAGTGATTTACTTACTTAAACTAGCTCTTAACCTTAAAAAGTCACTATGATTCGAAAATTGATTGTAGTTAACTAATATCGACAATTTGCGATGGCTTAGGAGTTCACGGGTTCATTTGCACTTTGGTCCTGTACCGTTGTGGCTGTGGCTCTATGCTAGTTGTGTACATGCTTTTTTTCTTTTGTTCCTTCTTATTTGTTTTATTATACTTATACTAAGTTTTAATATTAATTAATATAAGATTTACTTTAAGAGTCAATGGAACTCAACTGTCAATTTGTTTTAGTTGACTTTCATGTATGAGTAGAATAAATAAATAAATCAATAAATCAAGACGGCTCTACGTGTCCTCTTCGCCTTTCTAACTGCACATCTACATTCCTACAGTGTTTGCGTATATCCACCCTTACCTTCTGCTTGGCGGACGAGTAATATGCATACTTTAATAAAATTGTAATTTGAGTTCGATTTTGTTAAAATGAAATTTGTTAAAGTAAGAAAAATTTGGCATCGACTTTATTAAAAGTTTGATTTGATTTAGTATGAGAATTTCGACGGCGAACGCAATGAAAGATTCGCAAGTCGAAATACTTATTAAAAGGAAGAAATGTGTTAATAATCCGTGAAACCGTATGACGCTTTTGCTTTATTTAATACTTCAACATATCATCTTTTTCAGCTAGATATACACGCGGACAATGTTGTTGAGCCAAAATATCATAAGCACATCCGTCACCGATGGCGAAGTTACGACCAGCAGACAATTTATTCCAGAAATGAGCCACATATGATTGCCTAAGTTGCTTTAACACTGATTTCGCCTTCTTCGATTCGAAAAAATCTTCCCAATACGGATAACGAATAGCATAAAAAAGTTTATGGTCATGTATATGGAAACCTTTGCAAGTCCTAAGATATGGCATCTTTCGGATTTCCGTTGAATTGCAAATTTCACATGCAATATTTGTTATCACGCCCGGACCGTTAGTATTCCATTCGTTGTACTTGTAATTCTTCAAAAAATATATCAAACATTTTTCAGCCAGTTGATGCCCGAACCCGTCGGGAGAGAAATTTATTACGCCAGCAGCTACATTAAACTTACTCTCGATCCCGGCGTAATTAGGCGGTAAAAGTTCGAGAGATTTCAACGTTATTGTATCGGTATCCAAGTAAGTGCCACCAAAACGCCATAATGTCATGAAACGTAAAAAATCGGAAATATGCGAAACGAAGTATCTGTGCACATAAAAATCGTATTATTATTAGATATTTTGATTGGAAATAAGGGACTTTCACCTCGACATAAATACTTCGTCCTTTTTTAACCATGCGTAGCCGGGCGTATTCAATGTATAAGACCATAAATGAACATTGCGAAAATGAACATTTTTATAATGTAGAAGAACTTTGAAACGAGACTCATTCCTTATAGCAGCATCCATATACCGTGACGCAGCGAATAATACGAATACATCACTTTTTCTGTTGTGTAAAGCAGCCGACTCAATGGCACACGCTTGTCGAAATGTTAGATGAGCATAATTGATGCGTTCGTCCACTGATTGATAGATAGACGGAAAAGCCAGTTTCTTCCATTCTCCGCTGGTTTCATGAAAAAATATACTATCTCTTCGCGAAGGTTGTCTTTCAGCCTGCAAGATGTCATCCAAGGGTTCCAAATCTTCATAACTTCCAAAAATTTGAGACTGATTCATATAAATCCATTTGTGCATTAGCGGTTTATAAAGGAAATCATTGATAATGACAATGGCACACAGGCTAACAAAAACTGTATTTAATATTATTAATAGCCATCTTAATGGTAATTGCGTATGGGTAGTAGGGGATGGCTTCACCCTTTCAAGCAGTCTATAAATAATTGCCATTAAAAAATCAAATTTTTTATTTTTTGCCCTAGTATGCCGTTAACTTCTTCTTCTTATATTCAGCAAATCAACGATTGAAATTCGTAGCCTTATGCAGAAATGGCGCATGCGAATACAGAGTTCTTTTTTGAGCCTTAGTTAGAGTTAGTTTTGGCATATAATTATTATTATTCTTATTTATACATTTTATAATTTCTTTCTATTTTGTAATCAAAATTATATTTGATTAATGTCTTGTTGTCGTTTTCAAAGTCTTGCAAGTTTGTAGGCGATATTTTCATTTTTCTGAATAGGAGAATGTTTGCCCCAAATGCAGGCGGATAAATGGACAGACGAGTGGACAGACATGCTCAGATGCACACCGAATTTGAAATTTGCCAAGAACTTGCCTTGTGTGGACTTTGCAGCTTGCTTCTGAAAATTAAATTTTGATATACTACAAATTTGGTTCGGTTCAATATTGTCCATTCACGCTGTAGCACCTCAGAATGTGCGTTTAAATTTTTGTACGTTTATCTGCTATAGTTTATAAGTAATGAGCAAAAAAATCAACTTCCTATTACTCTTGAAGAGCAGAAATGTCCTTACTTTAAAATGACAGAATGAGCAAAGATTACACAGACGGACAGATGGAAATGCTTTAATTGATTTAGAATTTAACGCAGATGAAGAATATGTATCCTATGTGAGTTCTCCAACGCTTTCTTCTGGGCGTTGTAAACGTTTAGACTAAACGAATATAACCCTGATAGGTATAAAAATAAATGTAATAATAACGACTTTTATGGTGATATTGGTACGCTGATTCATAAGCAATTTTTTGTTTCAGCTGCAGACACTTGTTTATTGACTGTTAAAAATTAAACCTTCTGATAAGGGCTCCAATAATTTTGATACACTTAAAGCAAAAATTCCCTTCTGTTTCCAATTAGCTTCATAGTGAAGGGAGATGGTTTTCCCAAATTTAAAATCTTTATAGGGTAGCTCACGATCTAGGAATTACTGTCTAGCGCAATAAAAAATCTGTTTGAATGTGAAATTTATAAATTTAATATAAGTACAGCGCTTCTAGACTTTTCAGAACAATCTCAGGACAGTAGGTGACGAAAAGTGTGGCCACAAAGACTACATAAATTAGGCGTGATTTGGAGACAGACCACCGAAAAAAACACTTAAGGAAACGTATAAAAATGCTCGATAAGGAAACGTATAAAAATGCTCTACTTTAAATGCTTTACTTTAAAAGACGGTCGAAACATTTGGATGAGCGATGCAGAATATTTTCTGCTCATATATTCACTTAAGAAATCTATCTGTTACGGAATTGGCTAACGATAGATTATGCAAAATCTTATTATGTTATAAGAACAAAAAGTAAAAGGCAAAAAGAGTTATAGGCAAGGCTCTACCTCACAAGTGCTTATGTGACGACTATTCATAATAAGATGTTATATGGAAACGTGTCAGAAAAGCGGCCGTGTCCAAATCATTCTTAATAGTCCTTGCGCCAAGACATGTCCATGTACCAAATTTCTTTAGCATATTTTGAAATTTATGACTAAAAGTTTAAGCAAAAGAAAACAAGGTCGACTGTCAGACAGACGGACAAATGGACAAGTTTTAAATTATGCTAGCAGATGGGTCTACCGTCAGTTCTTCTGGTTGTTGCATACATTCGCACGAACTTAATATACCCTTGTAATATGTAGATTATAATAAGTATGGAAATAAAATAGACAAATAAATTTATCTAGTTCTAACTTTTAAATATATCAGCACTTATTCGCACAATTATTGCACACAATTTATTTTACCACATATCGGTTGCCAAGTTATCGAAAGGGCTTGTGAAAGATATGCAATCTTGATAAATTTTAAAAAACCAAAATATTTTCGATTAAATAATAACATAACCCATTTGAGAAACATCATTGATGACTTGATATACATTCGGACAATGTTGTTTAATCAAAACGTTATAACCGCAATTTTTATTTCCTTTTGAATTTCGGGAACGTACACCCCAGGTGCACTTAGGTGAGCGACATATGAGTATGTTAATATGTATAAAGTTTCATTCGTATCTGATAGTAGGTGTAATTAAAAATGTGAAAGCCGTAGAAACGATCACTATCCAACCACAATGCATTATTGCGATCACCGCGAAGTTTGTTGATGTCATTCTTTACCGTTTCAAGACTTGACGCTCCCCAAAGTGTATTATTATTATTATTACTCTGGGTGATTTTAAACATGCGAAGCCATAAGTTCGCGACCTGCTCACCGAGAGCGTTGTTAGTTCAACACCTATTTTACGTCCTCCACCGTGTTCTCTTTCGATTCCCGCGTAATTAAGTGGCAGCTTTTCTACTGATTTTAATGTTATGGTGTCAAAGTTATTATTTTCTGATTAAATAAATTTCCCTTATCTTATACAAAAAGCAAATAAAACGAAAATTTTAAAATGTAACAAATATCAATTTATTTATTTATTTATTATGGACGTTTTTCAATTTTTTCTGTTATTGTTCTTCTTAATTCTCCAATTAATTCAAATTATATCATTTTTCCCCCACCATCTCTTTATCGCCTAGCTGTTGCATAAAAAATGAACCAAGAAGCAATCCAACGGTATCTCAGAATTTCTAAGAAGCAATCCAACGGTCTCTCAGAATTTCGAAAAATCGAACTCGTCTTTCAGAATTTCAAAAAATCAAACGGCAGGTCTCTAAAAATGAACAAAACCTCTCAGAATGTGTATGAGAAAAATACATATATTTTTTGGTAGAAGTAAACAAAAGCTAAGAAAAATACTTGCCGAGAAATTTTTATTTTGTTTATATTTGACCAGGAAGTTTTTTACCCAAAACACTTGTGGGATTATTTTTATTATTATTATTTTTGTACAGGTACTACAGCATCGCCATAGAATATGTATTAAAATCTTTGTACATTTATCTGCACAAAAAACCAACTTGTCATTCCTTTTGGAAAACAGAGATGTTCTCACTTTACGTGGTACGGTAGGCGCGTCCTCTGCCTGTTTTGGTCCTTTTTCAACACCAGCCTGCATCCAACAGCTTCCAATATTTCTGCCAAATTTGAAGTCAAATTTATAACTCGTGATTATTTCACCTAATTACCTACTTTACATTCAACTTGTTACAGAGTATGTATAAAAATGTTCGTTTGTTAACTTCTCTTTATCTTTTGCCATCAACCAAACGTCGTATGCAGTTGTACCGCATAGTAATTTAATTTACATAATTTATTTAGAATTTTGTCAATTCGTTTCAATAAAATTAATTGCGGATATAAAAAATTCGAATACAATTCAATTTTTTTATTTTTTTTATTTATTTTTTAGATCGTCACCCACGTATTATATTGCGTAGGTAACTTAACCGTGTTAAAATTTGATATTAAACTTTTTCCAATTTCGTAAATTATATGAAATTTTTGTGACATAATATAAAATACATCGAAATAATGTAGAGAATTGCTTTAAAATCGATATAAATAACAACTAAGAAGCTTTTTGTCGACTGCGACCGAGCCTTTTATACTCATCGCGGCTTAATACTGATCAATAATATGCAGACTTTAAATATTTTCTGAAGCTTTTTTCTGGATGCTGCAAACGTTTTGATAATGGAATGTAATTTCAATATTCTATAATATTGCTATGGAAAAATGCTGTAGTCTAAAAATTATTCGCGGTAATAACGAGGTAATATTGCAGAAAATAGCGGACATTTTAAATACATCAAAAGGCAGCATATGTGTCATTTGCATAGAGATTTGGACGTGAACAAAAAAAATAACGACACAACACTTATACAAAAGGGATCCTGCAGGGTAAAACTTTGCGAGTTTTGAAAATCTTGATAAACAGGCATCGAAGCAAAAAACATTGGGCCGGCTGTGCCAGTCTTGAAGAAGACTATGCTATTGAATAAAATCGAACATTGTAGAAAAAAAAAATTCGTTATTACAAAGCAATCGCCGCAGTAAAAACATACGACTGTTAGCGCGGGAAAAGTAGTTACGCTATTTTTTACAGGCGTATATGCCTATATACTGAGTATGTATGCACATATGTGCAAATTTTTATATCTTAATGGACTTTCTGTCTTTAGTGGAGACACGACGATTCGGTTAAAAGGAAGCGCGTGTTTGCGAAGGACAAAGCGTTGGAAGTTGCTGGAAGACCTAATGAGAAGAAAAGTAAAAATATTATTTATTCATCAATAGAGTTAAGCAGAAAATTTTGCATTTTTCACATACCATGAGAAAATTTTTTTTATAAAATCTAAGAGAATTTATTATTCCTCACACATGCCAAAGAAACAAATTTTATATCTTTTAAAATTATTCAACTTTTACTAAAATAGGTTGCATTGTCTGTGAAATATCAGTATCGGGATATCAAAGAAGGAGTTAAAACTATTTTAGGAAAACGTGCACGTCACTATGATTTATATTTGCTACAATTATAATTTGAGCTGCTATAAATATTGAATTTGATTACAATAAGTCGTAAAAGTGCTAAAAAAGCAATTCGTTTGAGCCATTAAACTGCGGTTTTTTGTTTTGATCGTTTTAAATCTAATGTTTTTTTTTAGCGATATGGTTTATAATTAAATATACACTTATCATTCTATTATCCAATGTATAAATATATAATATAATATAACGCAGAGAAAAGAAAACACTTGCGATTGGTATTTAATTTAATGCGTAAAGAAAGAATTCAATATTTATGCTTAGAGCTTTTTTCTAATTAATAATTCAACTATTTTACTATTTGGTATGAAATAGTTCGTGTATCAATCAAAAAAAGGGTATGAAGTTTTATGGTATCTACTTTCATACTCATTACCCTAGCTCACTATAACTTTAATAAATTATCGGAAATTGAATTTGATTTAATTTGAAATTAACCTTCTTTTCTTCGTTGGACCAGTCCAAATCTTCAGCCATAATATCGCAAATTCTGGGTAACGATACTTGGGCCGCCTGAACATTTAAAAATGATAAACGTAAACGTCGTGCTATCATATCAACGGCATTGCAAGCATATTCACGAACACCGTAACGTACTTCCGCATCGACAAAGGGAAAATCAGAATATACACGATTGCCAGCGAGAGAAGCCATTTTTGCAATTTCGAATGCACGATCCCCGTACAATTTGGCCAAATGTTGTGCCACTTCATATTCCAAACCGTAACCTTGTACTAAACGTGCATACATAGTAGATGACCAGTTTTGGACACTTTCAATCTTCAAATTATTTTTTATCGGCTCAGACCATGCCGGTGTTAAGTCGCAAACTTTGTATATTTTATAAAAACAGTTAAGTTTTGTGAGGGTCTTTGCGGCCCATTCTCTGGGGCTGGTGTAGCTCAGCAGGAAACAGGAAACACAAAAATTTTATAGTACAGGTCGTTTATAATGTTCTTTATTTGTATTATTTATTTTATCATTTTCCCACGCACCGCGACCACTTTCCTAGATATGACTCACTCAAACACTCTACCTCCCTCACTCCATTATTCTACCCTACCGCATTCTTAATCTATTCTTATTCTACTCTTAATCTATTAATATTCTATCCTTACCCTATTCTCTAGGTTACTCTCTAGCTTATTCTCTACCCTATTCTCTAGCTTACTCTCTAACTTAGTCCCTAACTTATTCTCTATCTTAAACTAGCACTCTTTCCTCACCAGAGACGGAGAAATCGTGAAACCAACACGAGTGACGACTTTGGCTCCTCACAGATCCTCCGTTCTTCGAGGGGAAGAAGTGACTGGTGATACACCTCTCCGGTGATGGCTTCGGTGTGGCGAGGCTGTTCGCTGCTGCAGTTGAGTTTGCTGCTGCTGATATTTTGGGGGGGTTGCCGCGTTCGCAGCTGTTGAGTCGAAATATGGCCACAGAGCCTGTTGCTTGCACAGAACAGGGTGCTATACTTCGCGATGGGGGCAGTGCCATCGGGCGTGTGGTACTAACTATGACTTCTCACGAATTGTTGTTTGTGTTCTGCCTTTTGTCGTTGTTGGTTGTTGTGGTAGTTGTTGCTGTTGTCGACGTAGCAACGGAGAATAGTTGGTTGTGGCTATGATTGTTGTTGTCTTAAATTTCTAGGCTAAGTTTGTTGCAGCAGTGGCATTTGTGATCGTGGACTTTTATGTAGCTGAGGGGCTGCCTCAACGTCGACCGGTACGTTGGCAGCCGGGCCGTTCGGCTGTCTACTCTCCCGGCAGCAGACGGTGATCACATACAGCTTCCCGTCTATCTGTAGATTTCCTTCAACGCACGATATTTCATAAGCTTACCCGCCGGATGGAGTGTATTAATACGCGAGCTTAACTAAAGTTAGTAGCACAAATAATTAAACAAGGATGAGAACAGCCATGGGCGCTCTGATGTTCCTTTTTTCCTTTCTTTTTCTTGAATATTTTTTTTTTTTCCTGTTTATCAGGTTGGAAAATTGGGTTCTAGTAGCAGGTGGCTTAGTACACACGTACACACGTTGATCATCGACAACTTAATAAGTTTTAACTCACAAGAATAAGTTTTTAATACCGTATTGATTGATTTTTTATATTTCACCGAAAACTTATTATTTGTTTCAATGTTCAATGAAAAGATTTTGTACCAAAGTTCCTAACAAATTAAATAATGCGCGAAAATTTGCGACCGACCCGAAGTAAACACGTTAACTAGGGTCGTTGGCCACAAAATTTGCGTTCTCTTGCCTTTCTAAACGGAAACTGTTGCTACGGATTTGGCTGGTTTGCGCCGAATCTAATTATGTTCCTCTGTTACGTTGACAGCAGCTATTAAATTGCGCAGGGCTTATATATTGTTTTTTTCCTCCGAGTTTTCTATCACTTCTTTTTACAACTGAATCTATCGTTTAGAAATTTGGTTGCAATGGCAAAAATCCTACATATGGTGCCAAAATTTTTAACAATAAATTGATATTAATAGGTCGCTTGATGAGCGCTACGCGTGTAATTGCAGTTGCTGCCTTCGCATGCAACTTCGTACCGCTCCAAATTCCGAGCAATCGTTTTAGTTCAAATTAGTACTTTGTAAAAAATTCTGGTCTAAGAGCTAACTTTTGTTGTTGGTTGGATAAAGTTTTAGTGTTCTTTTCTTCTTTAATTTTTGCTTAATTCCTTCCTCTGATTACTACGCTTATTTTTATTATGGTGCTATTATTTGGCGTGGATTGCGGTAGTGATCGTTTGGTTGGTTAACTAAAGACGTAGCTGTATTTATATATATTTTTTTTGATTCAATAAGCGACGGGGCTAATAAACGTAGGTAAAAGCCTCACGTTTCTCTAATTGGCAGCAGTTACCGCCGTCTATTATTAGAAAATCCGAACTCCTGTGACTTAATCAACACCGATCAGAATTCATGCACTAGCTAATGAACCGATACCACTAATAAATATGAGTGGTGGTGCGCCGAGCTCCTCAGTCATTGGCAAGAAGCAGCTTCATTTTAATGGCCGGTGCTGTAGCGCACACCCACATTCACTGTTTACTCACCGACTTGACTCCACTTGCAACTTGCGTCGTTCGGGATGGTGGTAAGCTCTGCTGGTGCTGGTAGTGTTGGTGATGTTGGTGTTATCTTAATAATATGTAAACAATGTCTTTAGTAAATTCGATTATCCCTTGTTGAATGCTTTTTTTTTTTTAATGTTGCGAGACCGAGCGTATTCGGTAAGTTTTTTCTTGACCCAAAGTTATCACTAGCTTACTCTCTAGCTTATTCTCTAACGTATTCTCTAGGTTGCTCTCTAACTTAGTCCCTAACTTATTCTCTCTCTTAAACTAGCACTCTCCCCCTACCAGAGACGGAGAAACCGTGAGGCCAAAACGAGGGACGACTTTGACCCCTGACAGTCCATATATGTACCGCTCCAATGTCACAATCTAGCAAACCATAGCAAGTCCGAGAGATGGTACAAGAAAGCTAAATTAATTCAAAATTTTCGGGATAATACACACGTGGTTGTTAAATGATGAAATTAAAATTTAGCGCGATTTGAGTATTTTCTCATTTTTAATCGATCTGAAAATAGGTGAACCATGTAGGAAGGTGAACAAGTTAATAATACGCATGTTATATATAAAATGACACAGCTTGTAACAAACGATTTGCTTGATTCTTGTAACGCTGTGAAGCATACAATACACTCTGGTTGGGATTATGCATTATGCATTGCGGCCGACTCGATGGCACAAACCTGACGAATGGTTAAGCTTGCATAATTGATAACATTCTTTTGATACGCTGACACCAAAGGTGCATGCGGACGACTGGTTTCCAGAAAAAATATACTTTTCCCTTTGATTGGTACTATCTCAGCTCGAAATACATCTTCTAAGCTTTCCGAATCGCATTCGTTCTCAACAGCGACTGCGTACTGAAAATATATTCCAACTGGCTTATAGAGTGCGTTGTAAAATATACTAAACATAATTGTCAAAAGAGAAACCAAAGATACTGCCGTCCATTTGGACGTAGACTTTGTGCACATTGTTTCTACCACTTTCCCAAAGTATATTCAAATTTGTTGAACACTGACTTAAGCGCTCAAAGTATTTTTTAATAAAATAAATAAAAGATTATAACAATAAAATAAGTGAAAAAGGAATCGATATTCAGCTGTGACGGAGCCTATTTTTTACCAAAAACTTAAAAAAGTAGAAAAAATGACACTTTGATAATTTATAATGCCAGTTTTTGGCTATTTTTATACTAGCACTGCAGGATCACCAATAAAATATATATGGAAATTTTCTATTGAACTCTTTTGGAAAAAGAAGTGATTTTAATTTAGAGCCTTTGCAAGGTCTTTGCCAAATTAGAATTCTATATGTTATCATTCCCGTCTGGGAAAATGGTGGACAAACAATAGACAGACAGGGAAACTTGCCTAAATCGATTAGGAATTTTATATTGAGTAAAAACATATTTACTTTTTGACAGAGTAAATCTGTCTCAGTGGGCCTAACAGCCGATGATTTGGCATGATTTGGAACATTCAAATCGAACGATTCCCGCACCAACTTCAAGCTTTATTCATGTTTGTCAGCAATTTGAGCTAATTGACTGCCTCGGCTAGTTGTCGGATTGGAATTGAATTCAAACGATGAGGCTTCCTGGTTTGGCCTAAGGATGAATGCTATTGAAAATGCTTGGGACCGGATCACTTTTCCGTCCACTTCCCACATAAGGTCCTATTTTGAAAACTTCTTATAATAGTATTAATTGAAATGGCATAGTTTTCATTGAATTAATTTGTTCGACGCAGCCACTATTGAACAAGTACTTCCCATAAACTAATTTTAAAAATTTGTTTTTAAAAAAGTTCCTTAAGAATCAATATTTTTTGCTATTCTAATCTAAGCTTTCTTCTTCTATTTTTTTTCGCAATAAGGAGGTGATAGTGGTTCTTATACTCGGAAAAAAAGGAGAAGAATTAAATTTCCATACATTTTTATAAATCTTTTTTTTTTGTTTTCTTCTTCCTTTTATGTGATGAATACTAACAATAGTAATAAATTCTACCAGTAACAATGACGGAATGATAATAGTGGCAGCAATCATCGAAGCCCAAGCTATGCATGTTCATCGGCTCTAACGTCATCGTCCTCGTCTGATGAATCGGATGAGGAAGATTCCATTTATATAAGTGATGATATGGGCGAACAGCAACAACAACAAGAACAAGAACAGCAGCAACAAAAAGTCAATTCCAACGATTATTACATATCAAATGAAAATATTATTAATAACAACAACTATAACTATAATAATTTCAATGAAAATCTTAACAATAATAATAATAATAATAATAATAATAATAATAATGACAACAACAACAACCAAAATAATTACGACAATGATAAACATTATCAAAATGCACGTCAAGCATAAAGAATAAATTTACGCACCGAGAAGCCAGTAAATTTGATAATATTTCGCAATAAAGAAAATAGAAATAATTTATCATCACAATATTCATCGCAATGAATTAATATCAACAAACATATCATAAAACTTAATTTCTCCTCTTCAAAGCATTAACGAGTAAATCCCAATATGTTAAATAAAATATTTCGAAATTTTTCATTATTTTTTTTTTTTTTAATTTTAGAATACTTTGTGGTTTAGACTGCGGCTTAGAGGGTCTTTGCGATAACACAGAGGGTATGCCCAGATGTTTATGTCCTTTTGGCAAAAATGGCAATGACTGCTTGGAAGGTAAGCAAAAAAAAAAAAATAATAATAAAATTCGTTTCATTTTTTAATATCTAACCTGCAACTGCAATATGTTTTTTTTTTTAATGTTTTACGCTACATGTTTTATGTTGATAAGCTACATCCATACAATTCGTAATCGATTTTATTGATATTTCTTTAAACATGACTGCTGAGTTCATTTACTCAGATTTTCATTTTTTTTATGAATCACCAAGAAATTCAAAAGGTTAAAGTTAAATCCTTTTCATGGTTGGATATGAATCCATCATCAAAGGATGAGGGACATATTCATTGCTCAAAAGGTTTGCAATGCCCAGAAAGACTCTTCAGAGACCCCCTAAAATATATATAGATATATTCTTGATTAACATCAAATTCTGAATCGATCTAAGCATCCCCGTTTGCCCGTCTATTGCAAACACTATTCCTAGCGAAAAAAATGAACCTTTTCAACTTCAAATTTGCAAATTTTTGCACGCAGCTTGGTTTTAAAAATGGAACAAATCGGTCGAAGGATACGCCCACAATTCCACATAAGCTGAGAGCACCTCTGTTTTTTCTTTGTTGATCATTGCTCATTACAGCAGATAAAGCTACAAAAATTTGAGTGTACATTCTATGCACGATGCTGTCGTATTTGTACGGAAATAAGAAGAAATTAACCACGCCTACCCGATATAGTAGTGTATAAAAATTTAATTTTATTGTCAATGTCTTTAAAACATGTAGACGCAAATTTCAAAAACCCCATAAAATATATAAATTCTAGACCTGTTTCAAATTCGGAATGCACCTACGTATGCCCGTCTGTTCGTCTATCAATTTAAACGCATGCCGAACCACGTAATAACTGTGGTACACATTCTCTCGTTCGCATAAAAGAAGATATCGCGTACAAAACGCCTCTTGCTCGTTGTTCACAAACTACAACATACACACAACATAATTTATTCTACGAAAGTAGAAACAATCAACTACGCCCACCAAATATTATGGATTGTGTAAATCCATGCTTTTTCTTTCTTCCTATCTTTTATAAGATACTGTTATAGGTGTAAATGATTCGGTGACAATCGATTATAATTTTCTAACTTGTTATTAAAATTTCCGAAATTTGGTGTTGACATAATTATTATTCTTTCGACATAAGTTGGGAACCGAATATTATGCGAAAAAATTCGCTTCAGTATAAACTCTTTGTAATTTTATTTAGAAACGCACGAACTTAAACAAATACTGCAAGTTACACGCAGGAGTGAGGGTTTGGTTTATCGAACAGTTGGTATTTCCAGTAACTGAACGTCGCTGCAATCAATTTGGAATTAAAATGCTTCCTTATATATATACAAAAACTATGTTCACTGCATGATTTCCTCCGCAAATACGTCGGAAAGGTGATAATTTCCATTGCAAAATTATGCCTAGCGGCAGAGTTCACTTTTAACCCAATGGTAATAAAGAAGCATGCATCTTCAGCAAATTGAATCAAAAGTGAAGCGGCCACTGTTTCACAGCAGGCTTGGCAGACTAATTTAAAGAAAAGATTTAATCGAATGAGAAAGCCATTTTTCTTACGTTTAGTGTAATGAGCTTATAATCTTACTATCCAATAATTGACTGTAGACTGTTTGAGAATTACAAGTTCACTATTTTTTTTAAAACTCTCTCAAGTTTTTGCTTTGATTTGTTGCCGTCGTTTAAAATTATTACAAATTTCTTGAAAATATTATTTAATTATTGTTGTTATTGCAGATGTTAAAGTACGTGTACCAAAATTTTCTACATATTCATGGCTAGCATTTCCGGCCTTAAGAGGAGCTTACAAACATGTGCAGGTTAGTTAGAACCCAAAAGAAATATTTTTTTTTCTCTAAATATTTCATAATCCACAGGGCTTGTATAAATGAATGAAGTAATGAATGAATAAATGAAAGATTAAAAGAATGAATGAATAATTGAATGAATGAATGATCGAATGACTGAATGAATGATTGAATAAATGAATGTATGAATGCTTGCAGCGGTGGTACATTAGGTGTCTGTACATTTAGAAAGACTTAAGATAGACCAATAATATATAGTATATATAGTGTATTCAGCAATTCAAAATCATGTTTAAATCGATTAAACTTTGCTCCCTCCTACTGTCTCTCTCAAAAAGTTTTACGTCTTTCAACGATTTTTGTTTTGAAAACAGGTCGCCAATTTTCAAATTTGTAAATTAGTGGACTGACGTGTTTTAATTAAGGAGAAAACAAAAATAGATTAGATCGGACTTTTTTTTCTTTTATGCACACTCCCCATATAACACCTTACGCTGGCGAGGTCATTACATGTCCGAATGTGTAACCACGTAGGTAAGAATCTCGACTACCAAGTTTGTGTTCGTAGGTTGAAAGTCGATTCGGCAGAGTTTGCTGTGGTCGTGGTTACAGTTATTATGTATAGTTACTCAGACGGTAAACACACAACACTTACTAATTGACAATACACTCCCTAATCTGCGACCGTTTTGCTCCCTCTTTCCCACTTCTTCGCGGCCTTTGCGGTATTACACGAATAGGGGATCGCCACTGAATGATTTGGCCACATAAGAAAAATAAAAAAAATCATTACACGAAAAATATTTGCAGTATTTAAAGTTTCTTCACAAAATCGTAACTAAAGTTATGAAAAAAATTTCCATCGAATGGGTCGATTTTTTGAAGCTTCCCTCATAAAATTTTTCTATACGAAAAGCAAAAAACAAAAGATCTAATTTTTAATATTTTATTGCGATGAATGTGCCTAAATTGCAATCTGACATTAAAAATTGACTGTATCGAATTTGGACTATGTCGATCTATTTAATGAAGCTCGTCTCATATAACTCTATTTACAAAAGCAAATCATTTTATGGCAACAAAGTTTAATGTTTTGAGTGTTTTGTGCTGGAAAATAATTTTACAAAATTGGATCGGTTCAGTTTGAGTGTTGGGTCCCTTAACATTTAAGTGGTCCTAAGATATTTTGGGAAGTTATAATTTTTGATGATCAGTCTGCCTCGATCATAATATTTTCACTTGTTTGGTTTCTATAATTCAGCTACGGATAGAATTTCGACCTGAATCCTTTGATGGTATTGTTACGGAAATCCCAAATCTAGTCATTTTCTACAACCAAATTTACATTCGCTAGGCGTCATGCAGCTGCAGATCGATGAAAGCGATTAGTGGAAAAACAGACAGGTAAAACCAGAGTGCACATTCGCAGGCCCCTCATGCAGCTGCATGCCGATGAAAACGGTTACCAACAAAACCAGGTTAACGAATTAAATGTCAAGTCATAAAATTAGGTGCTAGTAATAGGATGACAAAAATGTATATAAATAGAATATTTGTGAAAGACAAAACAGAAAAAGAGTATTTGAGTTAAGCAGTCGAAAGTATTGCCAAAAATAATTTGTAAATAATCCTACATTAAAAGAAATATAATTGTAAAGAAAAAGAACTTTGAAGTGTATTTCTCTTGATCAAAATATCTACGATCTAGTGATACGGATTGTATCTTGTAAAAAGCGAATTTCATAACAGTATTATACTCTTGAGCGGTGAACGAGATGATTTAACAGGTGATTTTATGGCTTTACTCTTAAACAAAGGATTCATCGAGTTCTGGTAAGGACACCTATATATATACAAGAATCGATGATGGTGAGTTATTCAATATTTTTTTACTTACCATGAAAGGTTCGATTGTGGCAGCGGTGTTGATAATGTACGTTCACGTGAAACAATTCTACTAAATGAATGGAATTCGGTTATAATCTATCGCCATCGTTGGGATGCCTGGCTGGTATTAAATCATGGCACTAAAGTTCAAGGACGTTCAAATGTAAGTTAAACGCACAAAACAGGGCAGAAAACTATATTCGCCTTAGAGTAAATCGTTCATAAATTTGAGGGACTTAGGACTTCATGGTGGTGGTTTCGATGATAAGAAATGTTTTTGAAAAGCGTAGATACGCATATGTTAGTTGTTAATTACTTTGATATTTTTTTTTTTTTGTTAATAAGTAATCTTAAAAGAGGAGTGTATTCATTTCAATAATTACATATGAGATGACAGAATTAGTATACCGCTGTTCTGTGGTAGTTGTACGTCAAAGTGAATGAATTAAAAGTGTTTTTTTGTTTCCAAACAAGGGTTTGTTTTCACGCATCACTTTTCGTGAACCGGTATTTTTGAGTGGCACGGGCAACATAACCGGTTTAACTAAACATTTACCTATTTCAAATGGCTTTGCTGGTTGCATACACCGTTTTGTGGCTAATGCTCACGATTATAAATTTGAAGAACATCCTTTAGGTGATGTCAGCAAAGGATTTGATATACGTAAGTAATATTGTGTTCAATTAGTTTGGAAATATTTTTAATAAACTTTCATTTACATGTTGTAGAGGATTGCGTTACTGACAAATGCTTTAAATATCCTTGTCAACATGGCGGTAAATGTTTACCTTCCGATCAAGTAGCGATGTGTTTGTGTCCTATAGGTTTTGTAGGTGATTTATGTGAAATTCGCATGGATTTACAGGTAAAAGCTGAGGATTTTTTCTTAATCCTCGATTTATGTACACATGTTGTTCAACTAAAACAACTTTTGGCTCTTTTTAGGTTCCTTCCTTTAATGGTTCCTCATTTTTGGGTTATGCTCCTTTAGGCGATAGTGCCTTAATATGGTTGGAATTAAAGGTTTGCAATTTTTCTTTTTACATTCATTACATTATTTGAAGGTCTTTAACACATTTTCAAAAATTTTAGGTAATTTTAAAGCCAGAGCAAGCGGATGGTTTGATTTTATATTCGGGCGCTAAACGGTTTGAGTAATGGTTTTGTCGAGTTCATCTTTGATTTGGGCAGTGGCCCAGCGGTGGTCAGGTATTAATTTTAAATTAAGCAAATTTTTCACTTACAATCATATTTGACAAAAGCGTGTTCTCTTAATATTTGAAATTTTCATAAATTTTGGCTATGGTTGTTGTGGGCATCGTTAAGTGAAAGCTAAAGACTTTGCTGGCATTTTCGAGAGCTACTTATCCAGCAAAAACAATAAATTTCGCTTTTTATACTTTACATCATTTGTGGTACAAAGATATACTAAGTTTGCGTGGCTATAGGTAACACCCAGAAGGGCTGAAGATAGACCCACCTTTTATTATACCCAACGATACAGAATCATTTTCCGAGTCGACCTTAGATAGTCTGTCCCTCTATCTGCCTTGTTTTCTTGTGTGCAACTTACAGGCCGAGAGTTATGAGATATTTTGATGAAGTTTGGACATTGACGTGTTTTGGTCCAAGAGCGAACTCTATTGAAAATGATCCTCATCGGACCACTTTTCGACCTGTTCCCATACAACGGCTTATTTTAAAATGTGGACATATGAACAACTGTAGGGTATTTTTTGACGCGGAAAAACATCAAAAGCTGCCCACTTTGGGACTTTGATCTATCCTGTCTTGTGGCAAGAACGCGTTGGTATACCTTCATAGGGGATTAGGCACTATCTATAAGCCTACGATAACGCTGCTCTTTTCTGTTTCTTCAATATCTCTGCGGCAAATATTCCCACCGCTTTTGACTTCTTGTGCGGAATATATTCGTCACGAGATTACAATGTTTTTACTTGTTTATATCCCGAAAGTGAAGGCGAGTTGAAAGAGTTTTGAAGTGGAGAGAATCCTTCAAGCAAAATGTCCGAAAACGTATGGAGATCAGACATTCATTATCAACGCTTGGACTCCCGGCTAATCGACCAATAACTTTTTTTTTAGTCAACGTTTCTTAATCAACTTACGCCTAGACGCACTAATTATCTTAGGCACTCGGAAAATGATTGTTGTGACGAATACAGTTACGTTTTCAATTATATGCAATGCCTTTACAGCATAGTGGACACTTTTCACACACGATTTTTTATATGATTGCATTCAGTCTTTCTATTTATGAATTTTAAATAAATATTTTTGTGTGTCCATCTTTGTTAAAACCCAGGAGCGAATATGCTTTATGTAGTTTCCTTTTATGTTTTTTACTTCACTTCTCATGTGTTTGCTACTGACCTTTTATATTATAAAGATCGATCAACTACCTGAAATCATGATAGTATCTTCAAATGGTTTTTGGCATCTTTCTTTGCCGGAAAATCTTTTCGTTGGTGGTGTTAATCATTTCGACAAATTGCCTTTACATTTAAAAAGCAAACCTTTTCTTGTGGGTTGTATACAACGTGTAAGTCATTAAAAAAAGCGTAAAAAAACAATAACAAGAAAGAAAAGAATTAGAAGATTTCTATGCTGTTATTACAGCGGCAGGCAATTTGTGGCCAAAATGAATGAATTTACTTTCTTTCATATTTGCTTTCTTTTCTACTTTTTTTTTTCTTTTGTTTTTTCTTTAGATTGAGATAAATGGCCACTCGTTGGCAATTATATCTGAAGCATTGGGCGGCACTAACATAAGCAATTGTCCTCATGTCTGTGTGGCGCGACCCTGTGGCCCCCTAGCAGAGTGTATACCGCAGATGGAAAGTTATGAGTGTCGTTGTAACAACTACAACACGCAGTGCAATAGAGAGGCAGAATTATCCTTCAATAGATTACGTATTTGCAGCATAAAACCGCACAGAGAACAATGCCAATCGCCAAAGCAACAGCAACAACAACAAGAACTACTACTACTACTGCTGCTAAAACAAAGGCCTGTTTTGCTCACGATGATGATAATGTTAATGTACTGATGAAAGTTAAAGAATGATAAGTAGCTATTGAAAAATGTGACAATAGGAGAAATGCAAATTGGTGTTAGAGACGTTCAGATCCTATTGTTGGAAGTGCAAGGGAAAAAGCTTTCAGTTTTATTACTTAAAGGAAAAAAAAGGCTTGAATAGAAAATGAAATCAATCTAAACAAACAAGAGAAGAAAAAATTCACTCTAAGTTCTTTTGCACACTTAATGAAATCGTTTTATTAGTTAAATAAATATGGCGGTGTTTTTCTCCTCTAAGCACAAATTTTCAACTCCCTTCTAAAACGAATAAGCAAAAGTTCTTGTTAATCACAGCCTCGGTCACAATCGGCTAGAAAAGGTCATATTATAATGACAATGCAGTTAACAGCTTATTTAGACCGGCAAGATGGCAATGTCTAAAATCAAATGAGTAACAGGCATACTATGACGACCGTAAATCAGGTTCCTTAGTTCTTCTGCTGCTGCACCGAGAAGCTTAAATCGTTCTGCTGCAAGGAGATCTCACTAACACAGCAACATTTTTTCCTTTGCGTCATAAATATATTTTTTACACGCCTCAAATTGACGGGTCAAAGCCTCACACTGATACTTTGTTCCGTATGTTGATTTTCTATGACGGTATGTCGTCACATTCATCTGACATTGAAAATTGTTAAGACTATCATCAAGGAACAGTATGGGCTTCAGGCAGATTTTCAGTTTCTTGAATTTTTTGGAAATCAAATTTCACTTTCAGTGCTCGGAGAATGTAAAGTTACTGTAAAGGCACAACACGTTATTCAACTGCATCGACTTAGAGGCAATTTCTAACTATTTAAATTATCTCAGCATAGCAAGAGTTGAAAGAAATGAAGCTGACATCGTGGCTTTAAATGGCCAGGTGATGATTGACCCGAGCTTTTCAAAATATTTCAAACGTTTATCCTTTGTTTACAAGAGCTGACCATTGCATCATCTGCTTTTGTTGTATTTCGCGTCAAAAACTACGGTTTGCACACTAAGAGCTAAGAAGGCACAATACTACAAAATCCGCAAAGAATAAGACCAAAGCCGAAAAGGAAGTTTTGTTAAGAATCTTTAATGAAAATCTCTTCACTTACTCTAAAAAAACGTTAACAGGCATTCGCGAAAGTTACGAATGCGATGAGCAGAGTAGTATGCATTCCTTATGCGTGGTGGTGGATGCAAAAATTACATAGGTTTGTAATAATTTTATTCTATTAATTTTTTTGTTTTAATGCCTTATGACAGGTTTTATGAAAACTCATTCAACTGTATTATCGCAAAAATCAAAATATTATTTATAAGAATTTGTTTTGATATAACCACACATTTGTCATTTTAGTTAATTAACTTTGACGCTGCTCGATTTCTTTGTTTTTTGTTTTGAGTACCCACCTTCGGAATCTACGTAGTCACACTCGTATATGTATGAGTTACATTCATCTAACATTCATATTCAAGCTCGTGTGGAAGAAATGTTGTCCCACAAACAATAATCATTCATTATTAATTGGAAATACCACAAGAATTCATACTCAAACTCTAATTACAACTTTTTTTTTTTTTCTAAATCTGATATAACGAAACGAACTTGTGGTATGTTATATATGGATGAGAGGTACTTATCGAACATTTTCCTTCTCATTAATTTTGTAAAACAAAACGTAAAACACTTCACCTCTAATGAGAGACGAATAGCGAATCATAGTCAGTTCACCCTCTATTGAAAGTTAAACAAAATTTTGTACGATTGCTATAGTAGCAGGTTGCTATAAATGTAAAGTAAAAAGGGAACAACTAAAGCGAATAATAGTTGAACAATAAAAGGAAAAAGAAAACTTCTGAAGAAAGAATTTCGGAAGAGTTTTTCCTTATAATCATATTTATATCTGTGTTCAGTTCCGCGGTCATATTTCCATTTATATTCATATTTACATTTACATTTATATTTACATTTATCTTTATATTCATAATCATATTCATATTTATATTTGTATTTATATTTATATTCATATTAATATTCATATGTATATTCAAAATCATATTCATATTAATAGTCAATCACATTCAAATCGATATTCATTTCCACCGTTATATTTCTATTTATATTCGCATTTATCTTTATGTTCACATTCCTATCTCCATTCATTTCGACAGTCGAATGTCCACTTATCATCTCTATATTTTTTAGGCATATTCACAATAATAATTATATTCATATTTATGATATTCATATTCAAAATCATATTCATACCATTATTCATATCTACATTCACATACACGGTCGTATTTCTGTTTATATTCATATATATATATATATATATTTATATTCATAATCATATTCAAAATCATATTCATATCCATAATCATATTCATATCCATAATCATATTCATAATCATATTCATACCATAGTTCATATTCATATTTGTATTCATTTCCACGATCATATTTCTATTTATGTTCATATTTATTTTCATAATCATATTCCCATTTTTGTTCATATACATCAATATTCATTTTCACGATCATATTTATATAAATCTTCATATTTATGTATACAATCATATTTATATTCGCAACTTCGTTTACAAACATTTTTACATTGATATTACAAACATGAGAAGATTGATAAAACATTTGTTAAAAACAACACACAATTTTAATGTTATCAAAATATTGATAACATTAAAATTATCCCCAATAAGCGAAATCTCGAAAAAATTTTCGAGTCGAAAAGTTTGACTATAAGCCAATGAAAGGACTAATATTGGACAGCATGCGAAAATATTCACAATGGATCGAATCTATCAAAGGCACAGTGCAACGAGTTTCCTATGCGACCATTCGTCTTAGCATGAGTGCATATTCAATAATGTAAACAAATATGATTGTGATCGATTATTGTTATGGCATTACAGACAAAAGTGCCACATTTGAAAAAAATAGCTCTACTGAAGCTTTTCTCTTAGCTATTAAAGAATAAACGAATTAATTTTAAACTACGTGCACTCAACCATATTTGTTGGAATTTTCAAACTCAAGCTTGAACGCATTGAAACTCTGCAAAAAAAAAAATATTTGTTGTTTTATCCTTCATCCTTTCCCATCCACCAAATGGAGGCTTTCAGATGAAAATGGCATAATATTAAATTAATTTTGGTTTAGCTTTTTTTTTTTTCTTTTTTGATTATTATTATTTTTAATTTTCTCGCTGTAAAACATTTCAGAAAAATGGATTGAATTTATGCTTGGTAGACATTCTTGTGTTTACAAAAATTCATTTATTTTCATTTATTGTTTCACACATACCCCAGGACATTATGGCCAGTACGCTGTAGATGATTGTGGCATTGGCTGCAATTTTTATGAGAAAAACCAACTTTTCTTATAGTCGACGAGAGTGTTCATAATTTTGTTGACTTGTTGTGTCGTGTCGTGTAAGTTGATAACTTTCGAGCTGCAGGACAACCCAAGTAATTGAATCAAGAGTTATAATAAAAACAAAAAAAATTTACTAAAGCTATTTTTTTCAAACCGAAAATATTGTGGAAAATAAAAGAAAAGTACGGAGTCAAAAAATAAAACAAAAATTGAAATTTCATGTTTACAATAAAATTCGAATGTTGAGCGCCAAAAGAAAAACCAAAAAAAAAGATATTTTCGTCTTGGGACGAACCTCGGATACCCATCAGTTAAGATTGATATACGCCCTTTTTGTAGCTATTCCAGTAATTTCGTTGAAATGAACTGTCAAATCATTGTCTCGCTTGTAAGCTATAAGCTATATGTAAATAATTGTTCACACTCTTCATCCTTTTAAATATCGCAATTTTGGATATCATCAGGCAAAATAACGGGCAGATCGAAGGACAGACATACAAACGTTAAATTGATTGATTGAATCGGCAAACGGGTGATGAAATGCAAGAAAAATCAATAGAGCTTGTTCAACATATGGACGCCGCCGACTAGGTGCAAAAAGGGGGCCAGGACGTTTAGATACATAGACGGTTGGACGCAAAGAAGTTTATGTGGATGGCAGGGTTAGGGCACAAGCGTCATGAATAACGAGTCATACAATCTCTTCTTTCCAGCTCGCATACAAAAAAGAAAAAAAAGCAGTAAAAACATCAAGATGGTTGATCGCGGCTTTATATGAGAACGCTTAGATATAAGGAGGGATGGACTCAAACGGTTAGAGACATTGTAGGTTAGACACGTAGACGATTGGACAAGAGGACGGTTGAACGCACAAGGTATCAGTCATACAATCAACCGGGCGTGCAGACGCTTGGCCACGAGCACAGTAAGACGTAGGTTGCGGATACCCGATGATTGATGTATTCGAAGCCAATGGCGGAAACAGCGAGAAGCAGGAAAAGACCGACAATGGAATCAATCTATGACATTTACAGGCGGCGAAAAACATACAAGATAGACTTCTAAAAGTTTAGTGACTTGTACAGATCAGCTGTGGGACACCCAGATAGTAGGATAATTGAGCAATGCGACGCAAGCACATTAAGAAGCACGAGTTATACACAAACATAGGACACGTGAGTGGGAAAACAGCAAAGCTTACGCTTGTTCGACGCAAATTGTTCAATGTTACAAACGAAATATCAAAACCAGTTTACCTTTGCACGGAGATGATGAATATGAAAAGGGTTTTTTAATGATGCCAACGGACATGAGAAGACTGTCACTTTTAATTTAGTTACATTTGAAGAAGTTGTTAAGGAGCTTTTGATTGCCTAGAAAATCGACAACAGAAGGGGTTAGTCCTTCAATTTGATCATAGTTTCGTGACTCATTGCAGCTAATTCAATTCAATACATATATATATAGCAAAAGTAATTAATTAATTACAATAGCAAGAGTGGAGCTGGATATGTTCACCAAATAATATATGTTGAGAAAATCAAAGTAAAAAAGGAAAGGAGTGCGAGCGAAATGAACTCTCTACCTATACCTCGGC